GATTTCATCTCCTTGTCTTACATCATGAAGCATTATGTAAACATTATAAGCCTCATAATGCCTGTAGTGACAAACCACAGGTAGTCCTCGACCACAACTGAGCCCAAATTTTATGTTGCTAAGTGAGAAATTTGTTAAGCGAATTTTGCCCCATGTTATGACTTTTCTTGCCACATTTGTTAAGCGAGTCACAGCAGTTCTTAAAATAATAACACGGTTGTTAAGTGAAAGCGGTTTCCCCATTGACTTTGCTTGTCAGAAGGTTGTGAAAGGGGATCCCATGACCCCGGGACACTGCAACCATCATGGATGCGAGTCAGTTATCAAGCATCAGAAGGTAAATCACATGACCATGGGGATGATGCAACGTTCGTAAGTGTGAAAAATGGTCATAAGTCACATTTTTCAGTGTCGTTGTAACTTTGAACATTCACTAAGCGAACTGTAAGTTGAGGACTACCTGTATTCAATAAACTTAGTTTTCAGGTATATATTATTTGTTAACTACATGCTTTCATCTACAGTACTACTTTCATCAAGACAAGCAGGAGCCACAAATTGATACCGATGGCAATGGTCATTCTAGACCAGGGGTGTCAAACTGCCGGCCCACGGGCCGGATGCATCATCCGGAAGCCGTGCCCACACCATTGCCGGCAATGGCAGAACCGACCCAATACGTTGCGCAACGTCACTAGACTGTACTTTACCACCAGGGAGAAATTCTGTTTTCAACCACTGTATTATCATGATGACCTACAGAGTATTTGTTTCCAGACGTGTTTAAAATATAGCCTTTTTCAAAGCTCTACTGTCACCTGGCTCCACTGTTGCCAGAAAAGAGAGATAGCCAAGACAGGATTCAATAAAGTGCATTTCTACCCAGCAAGATCCAAGGAATTTGTTAGAGAAATTGTGGCAAAAATGCAACTCAAGCCACAGGTTTAATGTAAAAAAATACATTCTAAAGCTTCGATGCATTGGGCCCTTAGTGGAGCTTGGCTACGCTCACAACTTTTATTCAGAAGTAAATATCACAATGAACTGAGTTAGTCATTTGGTTAACGCTGAGAATAATGTATGATTTTCTTTAGCTCTTACATGCAATGTATGTGATTATCACTTCTCATTTTCATTTTAAAAACATTGAAGGATAAGCTTGCCGAATTGTCACATTCATTATTTAGATACGTAATATACTGGGGACAAGGGGAGTTCTTACCTCTTTGGTCACACTGGCATTACAATATAGGCTAAAAAGCATTTATTAGTATGTTATCTAACGATAGCTGCCCATCTAAGAGGTATTTTGTCCATACATGCGTTTTTGATGAAAAAAAAATACTGAAATTGCTTCCTATTTATGGTTCTTTTACTCCTTCCATCTATATCTGACAACTTAAAGCTATATAGTTCCCTTTTTTTAGGTTACATCCAGGTGTCTCAATTAAATATTTAAACAAAGACAGCTCTATTGTCTCTTTATTCTTCACTGCCAACATAAGACATGGTGGGTTATGTGTGACTGATGAGATACAATCCTTCATACTTTGACTTCAGTAAATAGAAGATTTAAAACACTTTCAACAAAAAACTTGGCTAAAAATCATTTGCAGAATGAAAATCTATTTCATCTTAATGTCCTCAAATATCCTGAAATACATGTTTAAATGCATTATGCCTTTAGTATAAAGCAAAATAGTGCTTTAATATTAATCTGTTTGAAATAATCTTTTTGTGCAAATTAAAAAAATGTATCTGGTCTCTTCATTTCTTAATAGTGAATAATTTATTTTTATTATATTACTGTCTGAAGTAATTTACCCTGGCTTGTAGCCAAAAAACTTCCTAGCGTAGCTTATAAGAAGTCAGTTCATGCCTACAGACTTACAATCTAAAAGATACAACATAAAAAGAAAAGGGATTAGGAAAGAAAATGAGAAAGTAAACTTAGGCATCATTAGTTAACATTTATTATTGTTTGTTTTCTTATAGTTATTTTACTGTGCAAACTAGCATATTTCCAATCTGATCTATGAGTAAAGCACATCTCAGCAGGAATTGAAGGTTCATCCAAACCCCTCTATATACTGTACTCTAAGTGTATATAGTGGAACTTATGGAAGTGAAGATTGATTTAAACTAAGATATACATATATAGAGCTTGCTTTCTTCTACTGTGACAACAGGAAAAAAGTGAAGCACCAGTCTAGAAATGAGCAAATGGTCTGTGTGTATACTACATTGTTAAAGAAGACTATGTAATTTTGAACACAATTTCTCTGCATTTTGAATAGAAGCCCTTCAATGGTACAGCTTTAGAGTACCTAGTTGCTAGATTTTGCTTTCAATTGGTATAGACAGAAAACCTGTTTCGTCCACTATTTTCAAGGTACATAGTATGATGTGACTCAATCAAGATTTTTCAAGAACCACAAATGGACAGAGACAAGTAGAATGTGAACATGGTTATATTAGGTGGCACCCCGTCTGCAAAACTAGAATTCTTGTGTCCAAATTCACAGGAAAAATTTCAGTACAGATCCCTATAGGTAGTCCTCAACTTACAACCAAAATTTGGCCTGGAATTTCAGTCGCTAAGTGATGGTCGTAAAGCAAGATGTCGCATGACTACAACTACAATCCTGGCAATCTCCGTTGCTGTTAGTAAGCAATTTTTTTACCAATTATTAGCTGAAGACTCATCCCAAGGCCAAAGGGCACCAATGGGGGAATCTAGATAAGTTGGTCAGTTGCAGTGTTCCTGCAGTTAAAAGTGTGGGGGCTGCCAAATACTCACTTTTTGATCAAACAATAGCAGGGCACTGCAATGGCCATAACTTTGGACACAGGTCATAAGTATCTTCGTTCAGCACCTGTGTAACTTCTATCACTGAACAACTGATGTAAATTGAGGACTAGTTGCATATCAACTAATGACATAAAAAGATCACAAATACATAACTGTCCATGAAAACAGACTTTCCTAACTATTTTAGATGAATAAGAATGCAGCAGCAACTATTTTTTATTTTGCTATGACATCAAAATTTCAGTTATTTTGGTTTCATACTGAAATTAACCCGAGAGAGAATATTCTGCCCAGAAAGTCAGCACAGAATTACTGTACCAAGATTTTAAACAAACAAGAACTCATAGTATTTTCCTTTCCTCACTTTTTGTTTCTCAATCCTTGTTCATTTCCAAGACTTTAGAAACAGCTTAAAAGTGGAGTGGTGCAACATGACTAACACTGAAGAAACTTCATGTGGAACATAAAAACTGCTATTATATCAGATGGCTATTATTCTTTTCCTCTTGAGACAAGGAAGAAGGATAAGATGTAATGACTTATGCAAGCTGTCCAAGTGAAACTATTTCTCATCTTATACTTTTTTACAAAAATGTAGTGAAATAACATCATGAATATATGCTAACATTTATAATGTATAACAGCATGAGCATTTATTTTGTCAGATGCACTAAAAACATTAAGTACGGTATAATGGTTCTTAAAGGAGTGTGTAATATATTTACAAATGCCTGAAAAGGTTTTTGAAGAACGAGGGGTGAACAGTTTCTCTTAAAGTTTGTGATAATGTGCCTCATTATCAAGAGCTTGCATATTTTCAATATCCACCCAACTCTGTGGTATTATTATAATTCTGAAAAGGTCAGACTGACGAAGATGTTGATATAAAAGAATCATCATACTGCAGGCATGAACTTTGATCAGATAGGGTTTCAAGTTGATTTATAAAATGAAGACATATCTGACACAGCAGATTAGTCTTTAAATGGTATTTGTTTTATAATGAGCAATTAAACTTTTATTACAGATAAATTTAAATAATAGAACAAATCATTTGTTCTATTGTCCTTTGTAAGTTGATATGGTGAATGAAAGAAAGCCTAAATTATAACTCTGAAATAATTTATTAAAATACTGTGTTCTTAACATTGTCTCTAGCATGTCTGTCACGATATCTTACCATCTCCTTTTTCTTTCCAAGAACTGTATCAGATAATATATTATCCCATTCTATGGCCAGAAATACTATGATAGATAACAGTGACATACCCAGTATGACAATGGTTCAACTGAGATCAGAAATATCTGGCAGGAATGGAAAACCTTGTGAAATTAGATACAGGTAGTCCTTGACTTAATAATAATTGAACCCAACATTTCTGTTGCCAAATGAGGCAGGATGAATTTTGCCCCGTTTTACGACCTTCACAGTTAAGTGAATTGCTGCAGTTGTTAAAATTAATAATACAGTTGTTAAGTGAATCTTGCTTTCCCCTTCACTTTGCTTGTTAGAAGGTTGCAAAAGGTGATCACATGACACCCCACAGGACACTGCAGCTGTCATAAATATGAACCAGTTGTCAAACATCTGAATTTTGATTATGTGACTATGGGGATGCCGCAACGGTCTTAAATGTGAAAAACGCTCACAAGCCATTTTTTTCAGTGCCCTTCTACCCTTGAATGGTCGCTAAATGAACTGTTGTAAATCCAGGATTACCTGTATTGAAGATATACTCACAAGCAATTGCTACTAGAAAGAAAAAATGGACAGAGCTAGTAGGTAAGGTACTCCTGATCCCCTAGTTTACATCACACTTTTATAAACTGAATCACAGCAATCTTTAATCTGGACTCTCAGATGCATTAAGACAGAATTCTCAGCTCTACAGCTGAAAGCCGAATGATTTCCTTCGAAAACAAAAATACCAAAACCGTCGACCTAGCAGTCCGACGAACAAGTCAATTGATTAGCATTGCGCGAGAGACAGCGATCGTGAATCTTGGCCGCGAGAGAGCCGCCAACCCCACCGACCCGATGCAATCTAGAGAACGACGCCCGGCCGAAAGGGGGCACTACACCACCTAGCTTCCCCTAGCCTAGTCCGTGAGTCGACAATCGTTGAGGACCGGGGGGGGGGGGAAGAAAAGCACCGAGATCACGCATGCGCAGTCAGGGAAGGCAAGGGAGTCAGCGCAGGCGCAGAAAACCCGAAGGAGCTGAAGGCGGGGCGGCAGTAGTAGGCCCAAGTCAACAATATGGCGGCCTGGGGTTGCTACACTACCCAACTTTGAGGGGTTTCAGAGGCCTCGCCTCTCTCTTCTACCTCAGATCTTCCTCGGCTCGCCCGCCATGGCCCGGCACAGGAATGTCCGTGGCTACAACTACGACGAAGGTAGAGCGAGTTGCTATCTCTGTGAGAGCTTGTTATTGTCCTCCCTTCAAAGCGCCCTTTTTGCTCTCGAGAGGGTCCGAGCTGCCTTCCGAGGCCGGTGCGAGGAGCGTTAGTGACATCACATAACGGTCAGCCTGGCTTTTGCGGGAGGGGGTGGGGGGAGGGCAGCGACCGGGAAACGGCGAGGAGCCAAAGGAGGTCAGGCTCCTGCACCCGAAGGGAGGATGCTTGTTATCAACTAGGCCGGCTTACGTGGATAAGTGCTATTTCGGGAAAAGGTGGCTTTCAGCCCGTTTTTACTTGTTCCCTTGTATCACCGAAAGACCGAGAGGCTCGATGATTTGAAGCCGGACAGAGTGGTCTCCATGCTCAATCTGGCAGACTACTTTCTTTCGGTTTGATAATGGTCAACAAAGTACGGTGTTTTGAAAATAACTCGACGTTTACCCGGAGCTTTCACGTGGGATGCCTTTGATGAATGAATACTAGAAGGAGAAGGAGAAGGAGAGGGGTGGGGGCGGAGGGTCGTGCGTGGATGTGACAGTGTTATCACAGCTGAGTGTAGGAGGAGGACTTTGGTGGCCTGTGTGGAAAGCAAGCGGAAATAACATCTTGTCCATATAGTAGAGGCAACATTAGAGCGAACAAATCAGATGTCGTCATAAGTCTTGCTTCTGTTTGAGTGTTCCCTGTTTAAGACATTGGGAGACGCATTCTGTATTGTAGAGTTAATGGTAGCTTCTTACTTAAACATTAAGCTGGTTCAAATTAGGCACACATTATGATACATTAAGAAAAAGATGCATGAGTGTAAGACAGATTTTGGATTCATGGGCAAGTGAATATTAAAATAGAGATTTAAATTCAGATGTTAAATTTTATTTCTAAATCTTGGCCAATGATTGCAATTGCACCTTTTCAGATTATTAAATATGTCCTTAATACTGGGTTAAATCAAGTGACCAAAAGGATCCTTTAGTCCACCCACCCACATATCTTATTTTTAACATAATGGTTATTTCATCCGTTATTATTCTTTTACATTGTGACTATTTTAATCTACAGTATTTTATTTCAACATATGCATAAGAGAAAAATATTTTAAATCCTGATCCCAAGTTCAGGAATGTAATAGTTCCATACTTAGACTGTGAAAATAAGTAATGATTTTTAAACTGAAGTATTATGCTCCTATTAGATTATTACAAGTGATATTACATTGACTTTAAAGATTATTATCAAGCAATTGCCTACTTGCATTTAATTTCTCCCTACATGTCCTCTGAAATTAAGGAGAACTTTTAGTATACCAGATACACCAGAAGGAATATCTTCTGTGCATGCAATATGCATGTCTAGGCGAAACAGGTGTCCTCTGTCAATAAACCACTATGGCTGCTTCCTGGTTGCAACTATCAGACAGAGAAAGGTATTTTGCTTGTGAAATAAAGCACTTCAGTTGGCCTGATCTTTTGAGATTGACTTATTGTCAAAATCTAAATATTAAGTTTGAACTTTTAAAGTACTTCAAATTCTACAATTAGAAAATTAAGTTTATATTATATTAATATTTATTATTCAAGCTTATTTCCTTAAACAGAATATATTTTGCTGTAAACAAAGTGAAACTATATTGGAAAAATGAAAAATGCTAAAATGGAGAATTTGGTATTTATTTTGTATTGCTTTCTATGGGCAAGTTATAAATTCTAAATGTATTGGGATAAGAAATATCTGAAAAGACCTGATGTATTTTCAGGAAGAAGACATAAATAAGAGAAGTTTCAGAAATTAAATTGTCTTTAATGAATATATTTAAAAGAACTCAAATGGAAATGCTATTTAATTACAATGTATTCTGATGCTTGCTAGAATAAAATAAAACTATTATTCAAAATTACAGTTATGAAAAGGTTGGTTTTCTTTTTGCCCTTCAGATTTTGAAGATGATGACCTTTATGGGCAATCTGTAGAAGATGATTACTGCATCTCACCATCAACAGGTTTGCATTACATTTTGCCATTATTGTTTTATGGTGTAGGTTTGTGGCATTTGATGTGTAGCCTTAGGCTGCTCCCTCTGTGTAGTATGTGGACTAGAGAACCCGTGGCCTGTTGGGTCATTGTTTCAGAGATAATTCCTTACGAGATTGCTCAATATCTTCACATGGCAGAACTTGGAACAACCTGCCTCCAGAAGCGATGAATGCTCCAACACTGGAAGTTTTTAAGAAGAGACTGGACAGCCATTTGTCCGAAATGGTGTAGGGTTTCCTTCCTGAGCAGGGGGTTGGACTTGATGACCTCCAAGATCCCCTCCAACTTTTTATTATTATTATTATTACTACTACTACTACTACTACTACTACTACTACTACTACTACTACTACTACTATTATTATTATTAGAGATGTATTTGCCTTGAAACTAGTCCATGTTGAACTGTATAGCACAGTCAAACAGAAGTTTCACAGGGAAATGTTAGGACATTTTGCATTATGTCATAAAATGCTTTATGGTAATTTTTATGACATAAAATGTTTTATAAAATTTTCTAAATTACAATTCCATAGGAGTCACGAGTCCTGGATTTTCAACTCTTTCTATAAGTTAATTCATTTGAAGTACCTTGATTGAAAAAGGTTTCCCAATGGTGTACTATTTTGCCCAGTTAAAGGTACAGATATTTTAGAGTGACAGTTTTAGTAATATATAGATGGATAGATGTATATAAAATAACTTGGCATAATACTCTGATAAGAATGAAGGGAATAATGAATTGAGGCAAAAATTCCTAGTACAGCTTATTTGCTTATGAGCATTTTAGAAATTGGATTGGAGTTGATATTGGTAAAATCAGCTTATTTGAAGAATACTACTGTTCAAGTCTGAATTTCCAATCTATATGTTAGTAACCTTCTAAATTTTACTATCATGTATATCTCTTCTCAAACCCACTCAGCCAAAGCAAAAGGAATAGAAATAATGAAACTTCATACATAATATAATTAGATGATATATTTAAAAGGATTTTTGGGATTATTAATACCATATGATTATGCTAAACAAATACTTTCATCATCTGTAATGAAACATTTTAATTCATATGAAACATTTAAAAGGTAAACTAATTGTGCCTCATAATTAAACAAATGGCCAAGAATAAAATTATAGAACTTAGAATCAGCTTTGCAGAAATGTCTGTTGTGAATTGGTGATAAATATTTGTACGTTTTGAAAAGATATCAAAAGTTTTAAGAATAGAAAGGCAAATTTATTATGGACATTTCACCCAGATAATCCTTGTTCTGTTCTTATTTTATTCTAGCTGCTCAGTTTATTTATTCAAAACGAGAAAATACTTCAGTCTCTGGCAAACCTTTAGAGGAGTATGATTATGAAGATTCTGCACATAGCAATTTTATCTCCAGTCACCAGTTGACTGGACTTGAAAAAGGTATTATACAAATAATAACTTTCATTCATTTAATGTGTATACATTGTGTGCTCTGTTTATTGGTTTACAGAAATACTTGATTTTCAATAAACTTGTGTACTTGGCTGACATCTGCATTTGAAAGAACTGATGCAACAAGTTAAAATTTATGTAACACTAAGCAAATGATGGTAGAAGGTGGAAAGACAGAAGGATGGAGCAAGGAGACTTGGTATCACTCTGTTTAATCTATCTTGTTAGATCACATCATTTCAATAATTCCCAGTGAGAAGTACTCAGAAATTACTCAGAAGCTACTCTGATTTACTCTAGTAAATGTATGATTTCAAGAATTTGACAGTTTCTATAAAGGGGCTAGTTGTTCCACTGCCACTAATTTGTATTGCATTAGCATGCTTCTTAGGCCACTGGACATGCTAAATATTTCTCTATAAATTTGCAGAACACTATGAACTTAAATATAACAAAGATTTATTAAGTTTATGTTGTCATCTTAAAAAACATAAAAACTCTGGACAACTAACAATACTTAAAAACAGAATAAAAGCAACGTTACAAAATTATAAACAACAAAATACCAGCCGGAAGCTAACCCATCACAAGAATTAATATAGCCATCTGATGGCTATCCCATATCTCTGTGATCTCAAGCTTGATGTCAAAACCAGGTCTTGTTAAAGGTCAGTGGGTTGGGATAAGTTTGATCTCCAGGTGACTGATATTCCACAGGGTGCATACGGTGACAGAAAAAAATCTTTTCATGGATCCAGCTGGAAGACACTTCTGATGGATGGAATATGGAGCATGCCTCTCCTGGTGGATCTTACAGGATGGGTACATACAATTGCGGAGAGACAGTCCCATAAGTAACCCATCCTCAAAGTTGACTACCAGCACTTTGAATTAAAATCAGAAGCACATTGGCAGCCAACGGAGCTTATGGAGCGAAGTGTCTGTGGAGATTCACAATCATCCAGGTCATGGTTGTCTAAAAGGTGCTTTTTTTCTTCAAAATGCAACTGGACTGCTTTTTCCTTGAAGAAGAAGAAAATATTTCACATTATATCCCAAAAACTTCATCAGTTCTAATGTTGGTGATGGAATGATGGGTACTGACAGTTGAGACTGGATGTGTCATGCCTCCGTCAGAGTCTGACTCTGAGGAAGTCATGGAGTTCCCTGTTGAGGCCCAGAAGGGGGTGTCTGGCTTTGGAGGACTATGGGGAGGAGCAGGCTGAGGCAGGCCAGGGCCCTTCAGGTTTGGAACAGGGAAGGCAGAGTTCAGGCAAAGAGCAAGGCCCCTCCCCATCCTAGAGCAAGGAGAACAGAGAGGAGGAGGGAACAACGGAGGCAGGCTCACTTGCTCGGGAGGAGAGCATCGCTCCCCACTCCACAAGGCACACCTGGGGAGTAGGATTTAAGGAGATGCTGTGGGGTGGGGCATTTGCCGGGAACAAACATGAAATCTTGAGATAGTGTGACTCTTGTAACCTGGACACTTTGTATTCTGGACCGGTTTGCTTCCTGCTGATCTCACCTTGCAGTCTACAGTTTGCAGTTTATAGGCAAGCTGGGAGTTAAAAGGATTATACGTTTGCTTGTTATCTGTCTTGCTTTAAGAACAGTGTAAACTTCCCTGGCTGTTTTGTTTGCCAGCATATGTGGGGGCTGTTGGGTGAACATTGGCAGTGATTAAAAGACTATTGCTCTGGCCAGCTGATTGCTTTGCCTCCGTTCGGGGTCCTGGGTCATCACAGGATGGTGGAATGGAAAGACAGGTTCTGATAGGATTGGGGGGGGGGATGGAAGGATTGTATTTCTTTGCAGTCATCTGGTCGTTAGCACTCTCTGAGAGCTGTTGAGGCCACTTGGGGGTTTATCTGTGCTATCATAGTCACCTGAATCAGGATGCATTTGTTTGTGGAATCTTCGAACTGCTGCAAGTGCTGAGTTGTAAACTGAAGATAGGTGGTTGAGGGATGGGTGTTCAGTTCCAACATAGATGGATTCTTTTACCCTCTTTCAAACCAGTGATACTCTCTGTCCAGAATGTGGGCTTGCTGTCTTCAAAAGAGTGACCTTTGTCTTTCAAATGCAGATGGACCACTGAATCTTATCCTGATGGGTTTGACCTTCTGTGTTGTGCTTTGCATTTGTGAAGTGGTTGTTTTGTTTCACCAATGTACAGGTCTGCATATGTTTCGTTGCATTGTATATATATATCACATTGCTTAGTTTGTGCCTGGGTGTTTTATTCTTGGAGTGAACAAGGTTCTGCCTTAGTGTATTCTTGAGTTAAGTGTACATGTACATTGTGTTGGTTGAAAATCCTCCTGAGCTTTTCAGATATTTCTGCCATGTGTGGAATGACAATGTTGCTATGTTTATTATTCTCTTCTTTGTAATGGAGGAGCTCTTACTAGGTCTTTTTTTTTTTTTTTGATTTGATAAAGGCCCAGTTAGGATAATCACAAGTTCTGTGGGATTCCTTGGTATGTTTTTGTTCTTTTTCTTTTCCCTCTTTACTGGTAGGTAAAGTCTCAGCCCAGTGGTGTAGGGTTCTGATCACTCCCATTTTGTGTTCCAGTGAATGGTGAGCATCAAAATGCAAATACTGATCTCTGTGTGTGGGTTTTCTGTAAATTTCAGTGTTAAGACTTTTGTGTTCTTTAATGTACACAGCACAGTCCAGGAAAGCCAGACCGTTTTCTTTAACGTCTTCCTGTGTGAACTTAATGTGTTTGTCCACCAGAATTGATGTGTTTGATGAAGGTGTCCGCTTCCTATGTTTTAATCTTGACCCACATATTGTCCATATACCTATAGCAGTGACTGGATGGAAATTGGCTTTGGTTTCTACTTCTTCTATGTAGAGATTGGCCACAATGGGGACACATGTGAACCTATGGCACGGGCGTGTTTTTGTCTGAAAAAACCTTCATTGTATTTAAAATGAAATAAAATTATGCAGCAGAGGTGCTGTGTGTGCCAATGATATGCACACTGCTGCATTTTTCACAAGCCGAAGTTTCAAATACTTTCAAAGGCAGACCTGTGAAGTCCACATTGCAGGGGTCCTATTTCGAGAAGACCAAAGCATGAGTGACTGTGGTCAGAGCTCCCAGGTCGGGAACAGTTGCAATTGGCACACAAATGCAGCTATGCAAAGATGCTACTGGCCATGGCTGCCATTTGCTCTTTGAACAGGAAGTCCTCAAGTTGAACGCAGATTTTGCCCAGGATAACTGAACAATCTAATCAAAGCTGCGAGTTTTGCCATCTCTGAAAATTCTGTCAACTTCACTACTAGGAAGTTGATCATTATAGTTTTAGCCCATCTTTTTAATATACTGTATATGTATAGTGAGGGGAAAAATTATTTGATCCCCTGCTGATTTTGTATGTTTGCCCATTGACAAATGATCATTTTAATGGTAGGTTTATTTTAACAGTGAGAGACAGAATAACAACAATAAAAATCCAGAAAAATGCATTTCAAAAAAGTTATAAATTGATTTGTATTTTAATGAATAAAATAAGTATTTGACCCCTTCGCAAAACATGACATTACTTGGTAGCAAAACCCTTGTTGGCAATCACAGAGGTCAGACATTTCTTGTAGTTGGCCACCAGGTTTACACACATCTCAGGAGGGCTTTTGTCCCACTCCTCTTTGCAGATCCCTTCCAGGTCTTTAAGGTTTTGAGGCTGATGTTTGGCAGCTCGAACCTTCAGCTCCCTCCACAAATTTTCTATGGAATTAAGGTCTGGAGATTGGCTAGGCCATTCCAGGACCTTAATGTGTTTCTTCTTGAGCCACTCCTTTGTTGCCTTGGCCGTGTGCTTTGGGTCATTGGCATCCATGACCCATTTTCAATGCCCTGGCTGAGCGAAGGAGGTTCTCACCCAAGATTTGATGGTACATGGCCCTGTCCATCATCCCTTTGATGCAGTGAAGTTGGCCTGTTCCCTTAGCATAAACACCACCAAAGCATAATGTTTCCACCTCTATGTTTGACGATGGGGATGGTGTTCTTGGGGTCATAGGGAGGATTCCTCCTCCAAACATGGTGAGTTGAGTTGAAGCCACAACACTTTCACCCAGTTTTCCTCTGAATTATTCAAATGTTCATTGGCAAACTTCAGACGGGCCTGTATATGTGCTTTCTTGAGCAGCGGGACCTCGTGGGCGCTGTAGGATTTCAGTCCTTCATACCATAGTGTGTTACCAATTGTTTTCTTGGTGACTATGGTCCCAACTGCCTTGAGATCATTGACAAGATCCTCCTGTGTATTTCTTGGCTGATTCCTCACTGTTCTCATGATCATTGAAACTCCATGAGGTGAGATCTTGCATGGAGCCCCAGACCGAGAGAAATTGACAGTTACTTTGTGTTTCTTCCAATTGCGAGTAATCACACCAACTGTTGTTACCTTCTTACCAATCTGCTTGGCTATAGTCTTGTAGCCCATTCCAGCCTTGTGTAGGTCTACAATTTTGTCCCTGACATCCTTGGACACCTCTTTGATCTTGGCCATGGTGGAGAGTTTGCAATCTGATTGATTGATTGCTTCTGTGGACAGGTGTCTTTTATACAGGTAACAAGCTGAGATTAGGAGCACTCCCTTTAAGAGAGTGCTCCTAATGTCAGCTCGTTACATGTATAAAAGACACCTGGGATCCAGAAATCTTACTGATTGATAGGAGATCAAATTCTTATTTCACTCATTAAAATGCAAATCAATTTATAACTTTTTTGAAATGCGTTTTTCTGGATGTTTTTGTTATTCTGTCTCTCACTGTTAAAATTAACCTTCCATTAAAATTATAGATGGATCTTTTCTTTGTCAGTGGGTAAATCAGGGGGGATCAAATAATTTTTTTCCCTCAGTGTATCTTTATTATCTCAAGGTGGTGACCGTACTTAATACTCCTGCCTCCTAATTTCCCCATCATATCACATTAGATAGCAAGAGTGACTGGCCCAAAGTTATCCAGTCAGCTTTCAGGCCTAAGAAGTATCTAAAACTTAGTCTCCTGGTTTCTAGGGCAGCACCTTAACCACTACACAAACTGGGAGTAAGCGAAATATCCTACGGTAACTATGATACCAAATTTGACTGTAGCATGAAATTCGATTACTCTGCTTTGTGTCTCTCTTTCAAATACGTTGACTAAATACATTGATCTTCAAATCTGCACTCACTTTAATCTATTTCAATAATGCACTTTTATAACCAGATTGTTGGGGGCAATGCAAATATATATATACATTGCTTATTGGTGTACACCGCTTAGAGGGTGCTTGCACTTAAGCGGTATATAAGTCTCATAAATAAATAAATAAATAAATAAAATAATAAATGTATTAAAAAGATATTGAATAATAAGTTCAATGTTGGAGCTACATGTATGCCCACGTTTGCTCCAAAATATCCTATTGCCTTCCAGTCTGAAATGCTTCCAATCTGAAATGTACTATATCTTAAAAGGGCATGAAATATTTATTTTTTTCGTCCTGGGTAAAAATGGTAATTATTTAAAAGAAATTAGAATATCTATTTTCAGCTGTTTGCATGATTTTTTTCTGCAAGATTTTCTCCGTAATAATTCATTATGTCATCCCATTATTTAGGTCAGCTAAATTCATGCCTTGATCGTATGAAAGAAGTACTTGGAGATTCAGTGCCAGAAAAAATACTGGTGGAAGCAGTACTCAGCAGTAACTTTGATATACAGCAGGCTTTGGACTCTATCCTTGCACAAGACAATAAGCAAAATGTGAAGACCAAGAATGAGGATAATGTAATTGTAGGAAGGCCAACTAAAGGTATGTTTATATTTATATTTGCAGAATTATAGGTAAAGTTTTTAAAAGAGCACTTTCTATGTATGTGTGTGCTTTTGACTCAGTCTAGACCCCTGGTCATTACATGGGCAAGTTCATGCAGTCTTGGCAACATTTTCAGAAGCACTTTGCTACTACCTTCTTCCTAGAACTAAGAGAGAGTGATTGGCTCAGAGTCACCTAATTAGCTTTGTGCCTAAAGCAGGGCTTGAACTCAGTATCTCCTGGTTTCTTCAGCGAGTACCCCAAACTGATTGTCTAAGAAAAAGCACTTTTTTTCCTGTAAATTGAGTAGCTAAATAATACATATAAATGTAACACAAAAGTGCTACTTGGGATACAATTAAATCTTCCTCTTACAACGATAAATACAATTTGGAAACAAACTATGTGCTGCATTAATTACTTTAACTCAAATAGCAATTTTAGTTAAATTGAACATATATGTGAAGCTGAATTCATGAACATATAATGTATTACTCTAAATACAGTTTCAATAATGTTTGTTAATTAAATGCCTTTCATGTTCTTTTTTCTTGATTTTGCTGTTGCCTTTCCTGCTTGCAAATTGAAACAATCTGTACTGTGACCTTGCATCTGTCTTGGAATTGTTGGCTGTTGTAAGGTAAGGCTTATTTTGTTCAGAAATATTTTCTAATATTAATCACTTGACTAATTTGGTTGAAAACATTTCTGATTCCACTGGTTCCTCCTTTAGTTTTAATGGTCCAGTTGTCAATGCTGAATCCACTTATAATACTTCAGTTCCAAGTGATAAAATTTTCTTCAGATCCAAATGTGTGAAAACTCCTGCTAAAAAGAAATCTTTCACATCTACATGCAAAACCTTGGAAATTTTTCCTTTATCATTAAGTGATGGCAGTGAGCAATCCATCAAGTGTGACACTCTCTCAAAAGCTGGGAGCAATAGCACTGCAACTAGGGAATCTTGCTTTGAATATGACACTTGCTTTAATTCAGGGGCTGAATTGCTTAAAGACAAAAGACTATCAGAAAAAGCTTCTTGGAATTGGTCTGAGTTTAAAGACCTTAAGGACTTAAAAGACATACTTAATGAAACAGGTGATTCATCAGATGCACAAGCTGGTTCATTAATCATGCCACAGAAAAAAATTGATCGTGGACCCAAAAGCCCCTTGGATAGCTATTTTGATAATTTAAAACTAGACAATATAAGTAATGCATCTAATAAAATGACTGAATCTTTTGAAAGCAAAAACAAGAGTAGCAGTTCCTCAAAGGTTAACAGCTCAGCATTTTCAATGTCTGAAAGTCTATCACTGGCTGATCTTCTGCAGGAACACCAAGGAAGCAATTCAAGCAAGCCTGGCTCATTGCATAATCTTTGCAATTTACCCTCAGCAGACTTCACAGACATGGAATTAGAATATTCACCGTTGTCTCAGCTAGCCAACCAACTTCCAGTATCATCTGGCATGACAGAACTCTCAGGATCCTTATCTTCCTTGACACATTCTAAGTCATCTCCAGTAAAAGAGCTTGAGAGTTTATCACTTTCAGATTTAATTGCAAAATCTATTGCAGTGGACAGCCCTGAAACAATAAACAGCCGTTCAGAATTTTATTTAGCTAAAAAGGTGCAGCCTTCAGTTGTACATTCAGATATTGATCTAAGTGTACTTATTAGAAAATCAGCATTATTACCAGAGCCTGAAGGAGTGCAGTTAAATACAATGCTTCCAGAAACTAAAGTTTTATTTTCAAAGCAGGGACAGCAAATGCTTTTAACTCAAGGAAGCAAGAAAAGCAAAAAAAAAGTGAGGCCATCTATTTTAAAAGGCACCTTTTCATGGTCAAAAACTTTGTGTGCAAAACCCTCCGCGTTTGCTATAACTTTATGTCTTCGTTACCCTTCAAAGAGATGCAAACATCAAAGTGTAAATATTCACAAGGCTTTTTTGTATAGCAGGCAAATACAAGAAGCAAAAGTTAATGAAATTGGACCCTTAATGGCAATCCCTCCATTTGATTTCAAATCACCATCTCCTGATGATATTGTAAAATCAGGTCAAAAGAAGGCATTCACTAGGTAGTGCAATGAGCTAATGTTAATTTTGATTATTTCTGAAGTCTAAACTATTTTATACAAGATTATTTTGGATTCCAAATTGGAATATATTTTGTTAAAGCAAAGTAAATTTCAGTTTATATTGGGTAGCTCAATTTTTAGTAAAGGTTTTAAAGGATGCACTGGATTCTGGTCTTGTTATTGTTTTATTGCTTACTGAATTATTTTGGGTTTTTTTGGAGAAAATATTGTACGTAGTAGTTTTGAAAAAACAATATTCTATGATTTCAGGTTTAAAAATAAGTAATGAAGACTCTGTAATAGTGTTTAAACACTATTGGGTATAGTAGTAAACAATTTATAAACTCTAATGGAACCAGCTTTACTTATTTGAAAGCCAACCTTGTAAATAAGTTCTAAAAGACAGTACTGTAAACCTCTTTTTTTCCCCATCACATAAAATATTGTATAGCCAACAATGTAAGATAAGATAATGCTTATAGCATATGATAGGTCACCCAGCCATTTTTGGTGGGGAAGGAGAGCAGAAAAAAACAGATCCGTGATATCAACTTGCTGGTTGTATATGCATCATTGGACATTAACAGTTTTTTAAAGATTATTTTTCTTTATTCTTTCAATTAATGAAGTAACTTTTTTTTTTTTTTGCCAGAGTAGGTATACATGGTAGGAACTGTTGCCAATCTTTTTTTTTTTTCTGGACTGTGTATTTCTTATCTATGCATACATGTATTGAAATATATTAAAGGTGCATGCTAAATTTTTTAGATGCATTGCTAAAAAATGAAATATATAAAGTAGTTCTTTAAAAAGATTTGAAACTAATGAAAGCACTGTGTTTTTCTATATCGATTAATAAAGATATTTATCCTCCATTTAGTAAACTTAGTAAGTGACTAATACCTAATTTGGCTTAATATGGCCATATTTGGACACTTGAATCTTGAGAGGATAAGAATTTTTTTTAAAAAACTTATTGGTGCACACGGATCCTTCATTTCTTTGTATAGTGGGCAAAACAATTATAGAATTTCTACCTTTAATTTCCCATATTATCTTAATATATGAAACTCAGATCATCAGCTTTATTAGAATGGTTAGAATTCTTCAGAAGAAGTTGTAGAATGTGGTAGAAAGAGAAGAGGAGAAATACATTTTTGTTCAAAGTCTCCTTACCTGCCCGCCTGTATATTTCCTTATATTTAGTAATACCATAGCTGAATAATATTACATTATTGTAAGTGGCAGTTTTATATATATATATCTATATATGCGAGTGCATATATGAGAGAGATATATATGATGTAATATATACTTTTTAGGTTATGTGATAATACAAATTCCATTCCATTGCATGTCAAAACAAATTATTTGTTGCAATTCAGGGAACTTGTTAAATATAAGTGTTTATACATTTTTAAGAAAGTAAGAAAAATGTCTTTTCCATAATTTTCTGCTCCATAAAATGTTTTTCTTTTTTCATTTTTGATAAATATTCTTACAATTTTGTATGTATTCTTGCAAAATTCAGGTCTCCCAATCTTTTGCAAACATAGAATTTTTCTCTGTTTCCCATAGAGAAACTCCTGAATAGATGAGAAAGTAAGGAAAAGATCTCTATGAGAGATATCGTTAGGCAGCTGTACACACTTATTAATTCAAATAAGTGATAAAGTACACAATTGTTTTAATATTGTGTATTTATCCAGATATATTGTAGAACAGCTATGTTGTATATATAAATAAAACATTATTGTGATAAATTCTTAAATATGATATTGATGTATATATTTAAATAAAAACAAATCTGTCCAAAGATGACATTTTATTTTCTTAATCTTATGATTAAGATTGTTATTTGTTTACTAGAATGTTTATTCTACATTCAGTTTTGAAAATATTTCTGATGTTAAATATTCTTTACGTGCTTTGACTATAATCTTTTTGTGGGGATTGTTACTTTCTAAAAAAATTTCTTTTTCCTTCCTCATCATTCATGATGCAGAAATGTAGTATAAACACTGGCCATGAGTTTACTGTGCCATATCACTGTTAAGTAAGCTATTTATCCACTTATTCTCCAGTATGTAAGCCTACAATTTAAAAGTAACCCAGAGATGTACTGATTTATAGAGCAGCATTCTGTAGGACTATAGGATAGGTAGACTCTTGTATGTTTAGTGGATACTGGCCTTCTATTGTAGATAATGATCAAGCTGCAAGTTGTGTTTAAAAAGGGGGATAAAATTGCATCTCTGGAGGAATCAAACATGGATTTTGTGTTCACATTTTATTAACGTTTTAATATTTTAAAGCTCTATGTGGATAAATGTAGTACAATTTTACTTTTAGTTTGTATTTTTTAAACAATCCTTTAACCAAAATTTCTATGCTTATTTGGGAATATAAAATGGGCTAAAAATATTTAGTTTTCTGAAGTCAGCATCACTGTTGTTTTATGCATTCAGTGTTTTAAAGTAAACTTGGCTTGTAATTTTCTTCATGAATTATATTCACAATAAAATTAAGGTTTACTCAGTTGGTTCACACTATTCTTTTGTGTATTTTTTGGACATCCAGAGTAGCTGTTTGATTGAAATTACATTAATTAATGCAGTTTATTATATGTAATTGATGCTAGGAATGAGCTAGCATCCTGTCTTTTTTAGGAGGATTGTTACAAGCAAGCATAGTAGAAGGGGAAATTGTTGTAATCTTTGGAGGGTATTTAGTATATTCTTGACATTTTTTCGTATGTATCCTATTTTATATTTATTTATTTATTATTTAGTTGGGGAGAAAGGACAGTCTGAATTGGTTGAGGCTTATATGCTTGTCCATTTGTACAAAATTTTGATCAATTTCTACTCATTTCCTAGCAATTAATTAATTTTATTATAGTTGTGTGTTGTCCATTCCATCTAGAAACGACTCTGGTTATTTCTTTAGACCAATTATTCAGTATTCCAATGAGTGGTAAACTAATTTTTTATATAGGAGTAACTAAATATTCAGAATTCCAGTAAACAGAAATTAAATTATTTTTTCACAAGTAGTTAAATTATTATTATGTAATTCCTTAATTCTTGATTAAACCATCCTAACATAATTGAATTCTACTAAAAACCTGATTTTTTAAAATTTTAGATTCAGTCCTTTCAAATGGACAGCTTTCTCTTACTATGTTTTTTGAGGAGGAAAAGTATATTGGATTTGAATGTACAAAAAGCAAAAAACGACGAATTGCAAAGATATTCATGACATTTACACTCAGGAAAGAAGAAACATCTGAAGAGACATTCTTTCTGTTTCCAGTTCAAATATATCTTCATTATGTTTTTCTTTGAATCAGGGATACTGGTGGGAAATCATAATAGTTAATGGTTAATAATATTTTACATTCTCTTTTTTTTACAAAGTTAAACAATATACTTGCAATATGCCTAATGTATCTGAAAGCTTAATGGAAATTTGAAGGTGATATATGAAAGTGTATTTCTAATCCTAAACTATCATGCCCATGTGCCTTTAATTATATTCATAATATTTAAAAATATATTTCATATGCATTTGGAGAACAGGTATGCTTTCTTAACTGTGATATCAAGCTATCTGTCTGGCCTACCTTTTAAATCTCCATTATTTGTGGTTAAATGTAGAGAAAAACTTCTGCGCAAGCTATGTCTAATTGCAAATTCTGGTGAAATTTTAGAGTTAATATATATGTTCATATGTACTGGATTTCGGTACCAGGTACATTTTTCTTTGTTTTTATGCTTTTTATTGTTTTATTTTTTACTACTGTTATGAGCCACCCTTGGGTTATGTTACATAAGATGGTCAGATATATAAGTCTTATAAATATTGTTGCCCTCTTCATATACAATTAAGAATATTCTGCTTATAATTGTATATCTCCTACGTTTCTTGGCAAACTGTAGCTCTAATGAGTACAACAGTATGCTTGAAAAGGTGTGCACAAAATCTATTGAAGCTATAGGAGTTGAAAGTATACTTGAATATTAGGTTTAGATTTCTGAGTTCTATTCTAATATGACGAGCAAACCCTAACTTTGCAAAATAATAATAATTCAGAGTAAGAGAAGTTATGTAAATCTACATGTAACTTCTGTTTAATTGTATGTGGTAACTTTTTTGGTAAAGAATTTGGATTGCATTGAAGTAAATTACTTTATTATTATTTCTTATTAGTGTAGAGTTAAGTGAAAATACAGCGCTACTAAGCATGAACAAATGGTGTTAACATCTTATTATTCAGAAATCTTTTTTTCTGTCTTATGGATCGCAAAAATAGTTGCAAATAAAAAGTGGTCATTCAAAATAATGTATTTAAAACATGTAAATATTGAAACAGCTTATTCATTTTTTCATTATTCAGAGCAATAATATGTGGAGTATTAAACAGAATGTCTGCAGAAGTGTCTCTTGGGACATTAGCAAGTCACAGAATCTGTTTGATATAGTGTGTGGGCTTCTGAAAGGAAGTGGCTTATGTCAGAAGCAGTGAGAAACATTTTTTAAAAATAAAAATCAGTTTATATACACCTACACTGGAAAAAATGACACTCCAAGATCTTTTCCCTAAGATGTTAAAGCCAGCATGCTGTGTTTTGGAAGAATATTGCTTAGAAAATTGATAGTGGATTTCTTTGATATGTATATCAACCGATAATTTACATTTTTTTTAAATAAAAAACCAGTAGGTTCAAGGTAAGATAATTTAACTGGAACAAAATTTATTTTTTGATGGTTATTTCACCTAAGGCTTGTTTTAGTATTTGGAAGTCCCATTGCAGAAAAATATAATCTTATCTGATAAGGGAATCCCACAAACACATAAAATAACAGTCTTGTGAGTTATAACTCATATTTCCATAATAAGATTAGATATTTGATAATGCAGAAAACTTGATTTTTTAAGGTTTTATATTCATCCTAGATCAGTGATGGCGAACCTTTTAGAGACCGAATGGCCAAACTGCAACCCAAAACCCACTTATGAATCATCGGGTGCCGGGTGGTAGTGGTACTGTCTATCCCCCATTGTTCTACCTTTCCCAGAAGGTAGTAGGCATTTATCAAATGCCTACTACCATCTAAATATATCTGCAGCATTTCCTTGGTCCAGTAATTTAGTCATTTTAGCAAAGAAGGCAATAATATTTGTTTGGCATGAGTTCTTAACAAACCCATGCCTGCTTCTAGTAATCACCTGGTTCATTTCTAGGTGCTTACAAACATGTTGCTTGATTATCTTTTCCAGGATTTTCCCAGATACTGACATCAAGGTAAGTGGTCAGTAGTTTCCTGGATCCACTTTTTTCTCCTCAATTCTTTTCCAAGCCTCAGGCAGTTTTCCTGTGCTCTAGAACAGTGGTTCTCAACCTTTTTAATGCCACGACCCCAACCGGTCGTAAGTCGAGGACTACTCAACCGGTTGTAAGTCGAGGACTACTCAACTGGTGCAGCACCGTTTGCAGAATGGGTCTTTTGGTGGGCTCAGCAGGGCAAAGACAGCCTGGACAATTCCTATTGGCTTTTGAAAGCCAATAGAATTAGCCTCTATTCAAGAGAGTCTATTGTATTGGCTTTCAAAAGCCAATAGATTAAAAGGGAGTAGCACAGTTAAGGAAAAGGGAAAAAATGGCGGACTGCGTTGTTTGGCGACCCCCGTGAAATGGTCATTCAACCTCAAATGGGGTCCCAACCCACAGGTTGAGAACCACTGCTCTAGAAGCATTCAAAGATTTCATTCGGTGGTTCAGAGATTACATCTGCCAGCTCCTTTAGTAACCTGCCATGTAACCGTTTGGTCCAGGAGACTTGAACTCGTTCAGAGCAACTAGGTGTTCTTTAACCAATTCCTTATTTATTTTGACCTACATCCCTCTTCTGTCCCCCAGGTACTGCTTTTGACAGATATGGCTAATTTTTCCTTTTGTATAAAGACAGATACCAAAAAAGGAATTGGATATGGAAAAATATCATTTAGCTTTTTCATAGTTTGTATAGATTGTTTTCTCTTTTCTTTTTCCGTCTTTTGTTTTCTTTCTTCTTTTTTTTTCTTTTATTTTTTTATCTTTCTTTCTTTTTCTTTTTCTTTTTCTCTCTCTTTCCTCTCTTTTTTATTTCTTTTTTTAAGTACTTTTTTAATGTTTATGTTATGTATATTTGATTATTAATTATTTCATAAGTTGTAAAAGGTTTTTTAAAATTTTAAATAAGCCTATATTCAGTTCTGGGAAGTTTGGGGAGGGGGGAGGGGGGTGGGTTTGGGAGGGATTGGGTGAGGGTTGATTTGTAAAACTTTTAAAAAATTTTCAATAAAAAAAAAAAAGGAATTAAGTACTTCTGCCTTCTCCCTGTTGCCCATCCCGTTCTTTTCCCACTAGTGGACCAACTATTTCCTTGACTTTCCTCTTGCTCTTTGCCTATTGAAAATATGCAAGCCCTCTTGTAACATTTTTCATGTTTGTCCCTTTTGTCCTTCAGCTTGCCCTTCAGCTTGTCAAAATGAGCTTTTTTTTCCCAGACATTTCTTGTTTTTTATTTCCCTTTATTACCTTGTTTTTCAGAGTTTCCTAAGCATCCTGAACTTATTTTTCCCTCTAGGATTTCCATACAAGAAATCCTTCCAATTCTTTCTCTTAGTTTGTTGAATTCGGCTCTCTTAAAATCTAGAACACTATTCTGACTTTGTTCGATTAGCCTTGCTTGAATTATGGTGAATCCTTGTATAATATGGTTACTCTCTCCCAAAGTTCCTATAACATCCACTCCTTTAAACATTTCATTCCTGTTAGTATCAAGTCCAGTATAGCTGACCATCTAGTTCCCCCCTCCACCTGTCAGGAACCTCAGCTCTTTAAGCAAGACCTGTGAATCCAAAAGCATTCCAAGTTTATGAGCCATTTCCACATGAAAAGTAGTCCCATCCACAACAAAGATGGAATATCCCTGTAATTAGGTTTCTGTACCCAAAGCCACTCTATTTTCCTGGAATTAAGTCTGTGCTTGTACTTTTCCATCTAAACTCTCAACAGCCTTCAGGCACCAGGATAGGACTTCTCCCATATCATTTGTTCATCATGGGTCAAAATGTATAGCTGGTTATCTGCATACTCCATAGTATCTAAAACCATGCTGGTGAATGATCTCCCCCAATAACAATAATGTTAAATAACAGGAGCAAAAGCATTGAAAGTTATCAGAAGAATAAGGGACATGATTGCTCCCCCTTCTTATTGATTGGAACCTCCCCTTCAGGAAAGACCATTGTGAAAGAAGGTCTACCATACCCAGGTCTGGGAGGGTCAATGCAATTAAGTGGTTTTTTTTTTTGGTTTTTTTGCAAATTAGATTTATGTCAGTGTTCACAATTTCACATTTAGAGTTCAAGGGTTTGTTTCTATAATGTAACACGTTTAGACAGTAGATAATGGTGAAGAATTTATTCAGTATTTTTAAATGTTCTATTAACTTGGCACTATTACTGGCACTTATGACATATAAATAAAAAACTAATA